AAATGATTTTTCCAAAACTCTCAGAGGGTTAGGTTTGTTTCTTCAGTCACCTTGAAGCATCACTGAAATAGTGCTTTTGTGTAAAGCTTTTAAAGTTCCAAGTGACCTGCTGATCCACGGGCTGAAGGACTGGAGTGGTGTTGGGAGGAAAGAACTTGACCTTAAGGAACTTGAATTCCTCCAGTTAGGTGTTCTCAAAGCCTGGAGGCTGAGCAGGACATTGTGCATAACCAGCAAGGCTTTGAGGGGCACATTCTTTTCTAAAAGGTATTTCTTCACTGCAGGACTGAAGACCTTGTTGATCCTTTCAACAAACAAGATACGAGTGACCCAAGTCTCGCTGTTGGGCTTCCACAGGACATTTAACTGGCTCTTCTGCACCTCGCATTTCCTGAAGGCTCATGGATTCTTGGAATGATACACGAGCAGGGGCTTGACTTTGAAATCCCCACTTGCATTAGCGCAAACAAGAGGGTGAGATGCTCTTTCGTGGGCTTATGACTGGGCATTGTATACTCTCCTTCTGTAATGTAGGTCCTCTTTGGCATCTCTTTCCAAAAAAGCCCCATATCATCACAGTTAAAAACTTGCTTCAGCAGGTAACACTCGGAAACCATAAGCTATGGAATTCAGTAGTGAATGCCTCAGTTGCCTTAGCGTCCAAACTCACAGCCTCTCTGTACCTCAAACACTATGGATGCCACTTCTCCTTTTAAAGTTATCAAACCATCCCCTGCTTGCCTCAAAGCCTTCTTCATTTTCTATTGATGTAGCTGGCAGTTTACTTAAAACATCAGTGCACAAGGCCTTTGCCTTCTTGCAGATAAAGTTCTTGGTCACAGTATTACCTGCTAGTTGCTTCTCATTTATTCAAACCATAGGCAACTTTTCTACGTCTTCCAGAACACATGGCCATTGCTTTGATATTCTCATGACTCCTTTTCCTGCATCTAGCCCCCTTATTTCTTCTTTCTTCTGTAAGATTGTGCAAATGGTCGATGTAGACTTCTTATAAAATCTTGCACTGGCATACTTTGTTCATGCTTCTTAATGATTTCCTTCTTACCTTCTACCATAATCATCTCCTTCTTACCACATTTCTTTTCATCCTTTTTCTGTATGGGGGCCATTGTATATGCTTTCATGGATGTTGACTGCAGTACGGTATGAATTGTATGAATTGACTCTTGTCATATACTGTATTTTAATGTAACTGGCAATAAGGCAGCAGAGGAAAGGGCCTATATCTAAAGGCAGCCTGACCTAGAATGAAGCAAAGTATTCCTAAGCTTCCTCTTGTATGGAAAAGCAAAGGACCATCCACAGGTGCTTTGAAGTGACAAAAAATATACTAGTGCCAGTTGTGGACACCTTCCAATGTTATGAAAAATCACTGATTTCTGCCAAACAGAGCATTCAAGTATGGAAGACAATCACACACAATCTCGCATCGAGATAGAGAGAGAGGGAGAGAGAAGAAACATTGGCTTAGTTGTGATCATGTGACCTTTGGCATCATGCAGTGCTTGTATTGCACAACACCGCTCATTTATCAAGTTAAAATTTATTAAAAATGTTTGCTCATCTTGCAGAACATTCGCAGAACAAGTTACTTGCAATCCAAGGTTTTACTGTATTTGTTTTTTTTGTGTTGAGTTATATAAGTTGTTTATATAGTTTGGATGCTAATCCTTTATTGGATATGCCATTTTTTTAAAAAAGTTCATTCACTTATTTTGAGACAGAGAAAGAATGCAAGCAGGAGAGGGGCAGAGAGTGAGTGAGAGAGAGAGGATCTCAAGCAGGCTCCCAGCTGCCAGTGCAGAGCCCTATGCAGGGCTCTATCTAATGAATTGCAAGATCATGACCTGAGCCAAAACCAAGGGTTGGATGCTTAACTTAACCAGCCACCCCTTGAATATGTCATTTGTAAATATCTTCTCCCATTCAGTAGGTCATTTTTTAGTTTTGTTGATTGTTTCCTTCACTGTGCACAAGCTTTTTATTTTGATGTCGTTACTTAGGACACTGTTTTGAAGAAGATGAGGATGAGGATGAGGAGAAACAACCCTAAAATCGAAGGCCAGTAACTTCAGTGAACGTCAGACTTCTAGTCAATTCAATTGAGAGCTAGAAGGTGGGGAGGCAAAGTGATCAAAAAGGCTGGCAGATGTTTTCGCTCTGGGTGGCCATGCACCCAGCTATCAATTCTACTACATTAGATAGGAAAGACTACTGGGAGACTATTAGTGGTACCTGCCCAGCTCTGTGTCCTGATAAGAGAGAGACACAGGGAAATGGCATGGCATATGGGATACTGGCTCAGAGCATGGATCACTTCCACAGGACAGCAAGCAGTTATCTCCCAGTGGATCCCGGGAGCCTTCCTAGTGCCGTTTAAGGCCAGCTGTTCCTGGATCATGGGCGGAACCCATTAGGCACACAGTGAATCCTGTGGGCTTTAGGCCATTGCCACTTTTGCTGTGAAGTGAATTCCTTAATAAGAGGCTGTGCTGCATGTCATACCGTGACTGGGTGAAAAGCTTTCCATAAGCCCATGGGCTGTGATGCTGGCAGAGGCAAGAAAGCACAGGCAAAGCAAATCCAAATAAAAAACTAAATGTAAAGTATTCCTGTGAGGACAGTTTACTTGTTCCAGATGGAGTTAGTTACCGGCTGAGCAACAGGCAGACACAGGGTAAGTGTCAGCTTCCTCCTCCGGGAGAGGGATGTGCATAGGAGACACTGCAGACAGAAGGCTCTTGTGGGTTCGGATTGTCTGGGTCCTTGGAGACCTCCAGATTACTGCATCTTTTCATAAAAGAAGCCTGGCAAAGTCATGTGGTCAGCCAATACTGAGGTCCAACAGCTTCCCGAATCTGAATTTGGCGTCCAGCCATCTCAAGCCCATGACCTCAGAAGAAAGACTCTTCACGTCACCGGAGAAAAGCCCTGAATTTCACTGTGTGCTCTGTAGCGTGTATCTCGAGACTTGATCTTCCCATTCTCTCAGCGGAAATTACCTAATGCCCTCAGAAGCAGCCACCTTGCTGGTTTTAGTATCTCTCCTCTTCCTTTCACGTTGCTGAGAATTTGACTTCAGCTTGTAAAAAGTCCTGAGACAAAAAAAAAAAAAAAAAATCTGGATATTTTATAGAAATGAACTCATACACTAAAAAAAAAAAAAAAAAAAAGTCCCAAGAGACCAAAAGAGATGATTTTCGTGGTCACTGTTCCATGAGCTACTACTAGTTCCCATACAGGAATATGATCAGGACTCCTAGTGCCTTGCATCTCGTCTCAGTTCAGTAACCATGGATCTGTTAGAGGTAAAGCTAAGTTCCTAATAAGAAGACAAACCACGGGCGCCTGGGTGGCTCAGTCAGTTAAGCGTCCGACTTCGGCTCAGGTCATGATCTCACAGTTCATGGGTTTGAGCCCTGCGTCAGGCTCTGTGCTGATAGCTAGCTCAGAGCCTGGAGCCTGCTTCCAATTCTGTCTCCCTCTCTCTCTGCCCCTCCCCCGCTCATGCTCCATCTCTGTCTCAAAAATGAATAAAACGTTAAAAACTTAAAAAAAAAAAAAAAAAAGACAAACTAGGGGTGCCTGGCTGGCTTGGTCGGTTAAGCGTCTGACTCGATTTCAGCTCAGGTCATGATCTCATGTTTCATGGGTTCAAGCCCCGCATTGGTCTCTGTACTGGTCTCTATATTGACAGCACAGAACCTGCTTGGCATTCTGTCTCTCTCTCTCTCTCTCTCTGCCCTTCCCCTGCTTTCCCCCTCTCTCTCTCAAAATAAGTACAAATAAACTTAAAAAAGTTTAAAAAATAACAAAATGCTTAACAAAAAAATGACAAACTAAAGTGACCTACTTTCCCTTGAATTGAGTGATCCAGCACAGGATCGAGCTTTCCTCCTTTGCCATGCATTCTTCCGTGGCATCGGCAGTGTTTTCTTCTGCAGAGATGAAGCCCTCGCATCTGAGTTCTAATTGGCAATAAAGGAAACAGAGTGGAGGAGCCTTGCTGGGATGTCTCGGAGCTCAGATCCAGGAATGGCAAACGTCACTCTCAGTTAACGTTCCACTGGGGAGAAGTCAGATACGTGGCCACCCTGATCACGAGGGAAGCTGGCAGAGATATCTCGTGGGGCGGTCGTATGCCTGGCTGCAAGGCTACTTCTAGGCAACAAAGGGGAGAAGGGTTTCGGTGAACAGCTAGCAATCTGCTATACATCGTTCAAAACAGTCCATGTTTCCTTAAGAACAGGATTTGTTTTCTAGGCCTGCCAGAACAAAGTACCACAGACTCGGTGGCTGAAAGCAAGAGAAATGTATTATCTCACCTTCTGGAGGCCAGAACTCTGAAATCCACACTCCCTCTAAACATGCTAGGGAAGAACTGTTTTAAATGTCTCTTTCCTAGCTTCTGGTCACTTTCAGGAGTTTTGTTTTGTTTTGTTTTGTTTTGTTTTGTTTTTGTCTTGTAGATAGATGCATCGCTCCAATTCTTTGTCTTGACATGGCCTTTTCTCTGTGTGTCTCTACACTGTCTTCCTCTTATACGTGTCTATCTCTGTGTCCTAATTTCCTCTTTTTTTTTTTTGAGAAGTGCTAAATATTCTTTATTTAATATTATACATAAACCACACTAAAGTGCCTTTCATTAAGCAAAGGCAACATTTTAAATGCAGGAAATTTTGGGGCACCTGGGTGGCTCAGTCGGTTAGGTGTCTGACTTCGGCTCAGGTTTTCACGGTTCATGGGTTTGAGCCCCGCGTAGGGCTCTGTGCTAACAGCTAGCTCAGAGCCTGGAGCCTGCTTCAGATTCTGTATCTCCCTCTCTCTCTGACCCTCCCCTGCTCATGCTCACTCTCTCTCTCTCTCTCAGAAATAAATTAAAAAAAATTTTTTTTAAAAGTCATGAGAGATTTTTGTTTTGTATTAAATAAGGCAATGGCTAACTATGCCTCCTTAGTAGCTTTTTTGAGATAAGCTATCTAGTCTGCTCTTTCCCTTGCCTTCTTAATGCCAGCAATGATCATATTTGTTTCAGAGATGTACTTCTTGGGCTTCTCCAAATACTCCATCAGTGTCTCCTCTTCCCAGGGGGTGCCTTTGTTCTGATTGGGATCCATGTAAGAAACTCCAGGCACTTGGCTTGTCTTGTGTTTGCCTCCCTTTTCCATGGTATGGCAGTGGGCACACTTCTGAACAAAAATCTTCTTGCTGTTCTCAACATTACCCATTTTTATTTTTTTAATTAAAAAATTTTTATGATTATTTATTTTTGAGGAAGAGACAAAGTGCAAGTGGGAGAAGGGCAGAGAGAGAGGGGGAGACTCAGAATCGGAAGCCGGCTCCGATGTGGGCCTTGAACTCACGGACTGCAAGATTGTGACCTGAGCCGAAGTCTGATGCTCAGCAAACCAACTGAGCCACCCAGGCACCCCACATCACCCATTTTTAAACCACCCTTTGGTCGCACGTGAAATGAAGGTGCCCATTCACAAGCCAGACGTCCTGCTCTATTTCCTCTTTCTTAGGAATCAGTCATTGGATTAGTGCCTGTCCTATGACTTTATTTTAATTTGGTTGCTCTATAAGACCCTATTTCCAAATGAGATCACGTTTGAAGGTACGGGGTTAGATTTCAACATATTTGGCGGGGGGGGGGGCAGCGCACACTATTCAACCCATAACAGGATGAATTATCTGCAACTGACCATTGGGCACCGATGTCGATATCATTTGAAACAGAAGCAAGCCTAAGAAAACGAAGAGATATTGAAAGGATATCGGGTAGCTCCTGGAACCATAGGAGGATTTGAACTAGCAGGCTTCAGGAAGGATAGAAATCTGGGCAGCTCCACAGAAAAACACAGGGATGTCTCTTTAGGGTCCGCCTTCTAGATGACTCTGCTCCAGTGTCCTTCTGGCCAAGTGTCCCTTCTCTCAAGACACAAATTCCTGGAAGAATCAGTTGGGTGGACCCAGGGTATCTTTAGGGGTTTGTGAATTGGACCCCCTGATAGACAGGCTCGCCACAACCCCCAGTGGGAGGGGCAGTTCCCCAAAGAAAGAGAAGGGCAGCTTCTGTGAAAGATTGGGGGGAAGGATGTGTTGTGCAGGCAAAAAACCACAGCTGTTTGCTACACATTATAATTCCTTTGAGAAAGATATTTCAGCTCAGGCAGTTATATTCCTAAGTATACTGGCACTTAAAGGAGCCATTTCGTCATCTGGAAAATGCGGGGCTGTGGAAAAATGCAGTGTCATGTGGTAAAAGGAGCATTCGTGGTGGAGCCAGGAGAACAGGGTTTTTTTTGTTGTTGTTGTTCTTTGTTTTTAATAATTTGCAAATGGAATAATTCTATCCTGAGAACTGAAGATCAAGAAAAGCTCCTGGAAACCACAAGAATGTTCAACCAAGTATCGGGTTACTACATGGAAATAAAAATCATGTAATAAAAATCACTTAGAAAAAAAAAGCATAACAGAACCAAAGACGTTATTCAAATCAGCTCCCAAGGCAGTTTGTAAAGGAAAATCTCAGCAAAAGTTCAAAGGGTTCCCTGTGAAGAAAAAGAAAACCCACTAGATTCTACTTGTAGGCATAAAAAGTGAAGGATGGGAAGACTTGAGATTACAAAGCTGTCATTTCTCACGAAGTTGATTTATGCAGTGTAAAAATCTCAGCCAAGAAAAAAAATCACCTCAGCCAATCAAAATCTTAATTACATCTTTAAACTTGAAAATGAGAGTCTAAAATTCCTAGGAAAATGTCAGGCCCTCACTGCCAACAAACTTCCTCCCAAGGAACAGGGCCCAAGTTTTGATTCTGACTCTGCCACTAAATAATCTGTGAGACTTGGGGCAAGTATACCTATAACCTTTTGAGGTCTTAGCTTCCTCGTCTCTGAAGTGCAATAATTATATTTTCCTGCTTCACAGAGCTGTAGCAAGGATCACATGAGAGAAAGTATTTGAAAGAGTTTTATGAAGTGTAAGGCATTCCTCGTGTTATAAAACTGTGTCCCCCAACAATGTTGAATACATGCAAAAATCACAATTGCCCTGATTTTGCAAAAAAACCAAATACCCATTCTGTTATGAAGCTCGGTTACCTGATGATTCATAAATGCTGATTTCCGTGGAGGGGAGAGAAGAGCTGAGGCAGTTACTTGTTGCCCTAGAGGAAGCAAGCATCCCTCGTGGGTCAGATGAGCTGCACAAGACGTTTATGCTTCCCAGTGGCCCCCTCTTCTCCATCCCTTCACCCCAAGTTCATTTCCCATTGGTAGAATGGAAGGTTTTGGACTTCATGGTGTTTGAGAGAAAAAAACTTTGAAGTCTTGACAGATCTCGGTTTGAACCCTGGTGCCAACATTTACCTTGGATAACTCACCCTTCCTTTTCCTGGGTTTCAAAATCTATCAGATGGAGATGATAATATTTATTTCACCAAGAACATTCGAGAATTAAATGTGATAAAAACTACAAAGTGCCTGAAACATAGTAAGTGCTTGATAAGTGGTAGCTCTTGTAATTACCATAACAATAATAAATTATGTATCATTATTATTATTACCTCCTAGGGCCTATGCAGCTCTGACAGTCTAGGATAATATGTCAGAGAAAAGCTAAAACAGGGAGAAAACAGAAGATTCCCTTAATAGGACTTGAGTTAGTATTGCAAGTGGGACATTTTTCTGGAAGACAGACCGTGTTCACAGGGCCTTATATAACCTTGGTGACTCACTAGCAGAGCTTAGCTCAGCCTTGTCTCCTCTGAAAAAAAGGGGAGAGAAGAGGGCAAAGCCATATGGTGGCAGACAGAGGAAAGCCCCGGTTGGGAGGTTGCCGCTGATGGCCCCTCAGAGAGTCTACTCTAACTAGATTTTTCTTTATTTTTTTTCATGTTTTTTTATTTTGAGAGAGAGCGAGCACACACACACATGTGCATGTACTTGAGCAGAGGAGCAGAGACAGAGAAGGAGAGAAAGAATACCAAGCAGGCTCCCAGCTGTCAGTGAAGAGCCTGATGCAGAGCTCGCTCTCATGAACCATGAAATCATGGCCTGAGCTGAAATCAAGAGTTGGACATGTAACCGACTGAGCCACCCAGGTGCCCCTCCAACTAGATTTTTAAATTCTTGTAAAACGTGTATTTAACTGAAGGGTTTTCTTTTTCTGCAAATAACTTTTTTAAAGAGTTTATTTTATTATTTTATTTTATTTTATTATTTTATTTTAGAAGGCTTCCTGCCCATCTCAGGGCCTAATGAAGGGCCCAAACTCATGACTCTGAGATCAAGACTTGAGCTGAGATAAAGAGTTGGATGTCCAACTGACTGAGCCACCCAGGTGCCTCAAGATTTTATTTTTAAGTAATCTGTGCCAAATATGGGGCTCGAACTCACAACCCCAAGATCAAGAGTCATAGGCTCCACTGACTGAGCCAGCCAGGTGCCCCTTCTGCAAAGAACTTTTGAGGTGGGCACCATTAATGGCCAACCCAAAGCTACAGCCCTCTACTTCCTTGAAGGCAGAACCCTGACATTGGTCAGGGTCAGGCAGCTGTGTGGGTCAGGAGAGAATGCTGCAGCCTCAGACCAAGGAGTAGGAAGAAGGTTGATGATTCTTGCCAGTGATTGGCTTTAAGAAAGGCCATGTGACACAATTCTGGACAATGAGATATGAGGGGATGACTGTCCTGGGGATTCCAGAGAGTTATTCCTCATTCTTAAATAAAGGACACCCCTACGCTTTGGGTGTAGTGTAATCCCCTTGGAAGGTATATTAGTCGCCAATTGCTATGGTAACAAATTGCCACAAACTTGGTGAGTTTAAATAACACAAATTATCCTCTTAGAGTTCTGGGAGTGAGAAGTCTCGCTGGGCTGAAACCAAGGTGTTGACAGGGGCTCTGCTCCCCCTGGAGGATCCAGAAGAGATTCTCTTTCCTTGTCGTTTCCACCTTCCAGAGCTTCATTCTTTGAATTCCTTGGCACATCGCTCCTTCCTCCATCTTGTCTTCACATGGCCTTCTCCACGGTAAAGCCTCCCTCTGCCTCTCTTTTATAAGGATATTTATGATTGCAGGTAGGGTCTACCTGCATAAGCCAGGGTACTCTCCTTATCTCGAGGTTCTTAACGCATCTGCAAAATCCTGTTTGCCTTATAAGGTGACATCCACAGATTTCTGGCATTAGGACATGAATATCTATGGGAGCCATTAATCATTCTACCACAGAGGGGATTTGGGCAGCAATCAGCAAAATTGTGCACTGTTTTAAAAGTCAGGTTTATTAAGGCATAGTTTACATATAAAACTAACTCTTTAGAGTACACAATTCTGAGCTTTGACAAACACATATAACTGTGCAATTACTACTACAGACAAGATGTACAGCAGTTCCATCAACCTAAGAAATTCCTTTGTGATGCCCCTTAGTGGTCAAACCATCCCCTCGCCTCAGTCCCTGGCAATCACTGATCTGCTCTCTGTCCCTATAGTATTGCCCTTTAGAGAATGTCATATAAAAGGAATCATGGAGTATGTAGTTTTTTAAATCTGGTTTCTTTCTCTTAAAATAATGCATTGGAAATTCATCCGTGGTGTGGTGTATCAGTAGTTTGTTCTTTATATTGCTGGCTGGCATTCGATTGTAGAGATGTATTACAATTTACCCACCAGGTGAAAGACACTGGAGTTCTTTGGCAGTTCTGAATAAAGCCTCTATAAACGTTCAGATATTGGCATGATTTGTATGAATATAAATTTTTGTTTCTCTTGAGTAAATATATAGGAAAGAAACTGCTGGGTTGTATTGGAAATGTATATTAAACTTCATAAGGGATTGCCAAAGTATTTTTCAAAGTATTTTTTACTCCTGTTAGTGATGCTTGAGAGTTACGGTTGCTCCACATCCTCATCAATGTTTGGTATCGTCATTGTTTCTCTCCTAATTTTAATCATTCTGACAGGTTGTACAGCAATAAAGCCATCGCACTTCTAGAGATATGTCACGGGGATGCCCCAGCAAAAATGTGAAAAGATGTTCATACAAGCCCCTCTATGCAAGAGACTGAAAACAATTCAAAACCCATCAATAGAAGACTGATTGAATAAACTAGGGTACCTCCCCCAAATAGAGTTTTATGGAGCTGTACCAGGGAGTAAGAAAATTCTCTTTGGCTATGGTGTGATGTCCAGGGTGTGTGTGTGTGTGTGTGTGTGTGTGTG